AACTAAATGGAAAAGAATAAACAGGCCCTATTAGGTTTCAGTTAGATTTATTTAACTTTGGACAACTGAAACTTCTAGGAACATTTAAATTGGGACCGACAATTCCCAAAAAATTACTAAGACGTAATTATAATTAGAATATAAGACATGCAATGTAAATACGGAAAAATGAGACCCATTTTTTAAAATTTTATAATGGTACATCTTTTAGTTGATCTTTGAAGAACTACGTTAATGATATTAATACTAGTTTCCCTTTAGTTTGAGTCAACATATATGATTTACTCAATCAGTTGACAATTGATTTCTTAATAAGGAAACGACTCAAACTAGGGTTTGAAGTTCACCAAGAATAAGATTTACTCATGCTGTCTATTTAGTTACGTTGTTATTACTTGTATTATTAATAGCACTTGAAGTTGAGTTATACTCATCGAATGAGGACAGTTTTCTTACAGTTTTGAGTTATGGTAAGTCCTTATCCTTACTTCTTTTTAAAACAGCTACATAATGACTAAACACATCTGACACTTAACTACCTCACTTCTTGAGCTTAAGGAACTAAAATATTCATGCTGAAATTTTGCTTTGCATTCTGCATTGAGTTCTTCATCCAGCTCAAAATAATATCATTATCATAATTAATGGAAAGTAATGGCACAGCAGTCAAGAGCTGAATTCAAATGTACATCAGAGTGGTCTCGACCTCTCAATTAAAGTCAATTGAGACAAGATTTAACTTCATTTAACCTTAGAATGTGGAGTTCTTTATTATTTTCATTTAAGTATTTCACGGCTAACACATCTAACCTCTCACAATTGCCTTAAGGAAAGTTGGATTTAACTCAATGGCTGCTTCTGCATCCCTTAGTGAATCTTGATGATTTCCTGTTATTAAAAATAAATATCTCTGATTAGCCATACATGTAGCAAGCCCACTACCACTCCATTGCAATAATTTTGGGAAAAACTTGTGATCCTCATTGATATCTGGAGTACGAAGTTACTTCTTTGTATACTTGAGAGGCCAAAAGTCTGATGAGATGTATATTTTTCCGGGCATGCATTCAAAATTATCATCTTTTTCAGAAAACTACTACAGACAGCACAATAGCTTCAAAAGAGCAAAACAATGCATGTTAAAGCTCTCATCATCTTACCAAGTTTAGAATGTGCAATAGCCCTGTTGTTGTACAGTTTAGCCTTCAGTACTTTCTCATTGCAGTTCAATTTAATTCCTTCAGTGTAAAAATAAACAGCATTGATGAAATCTCCTTTCTTGAAGGCCTCATTACCCTCATTTCTACAAACATCAGCTGTGGCTGCAAAGAAAAAAATTAAACATAATTTCTGTCAAAATCTGTGGCTGTAGTTAACAACTATTAGTGTATAAGCAGAGCTGCCAAGATATGGAGATTTAAAATCTGCACATTTTTCCTTTTGCACCTGCTTGACTTGACCCATCCCCTGAAAAGCTTAGACGATGTAGGCAGTCCCCCCCTCCCCCTTCACGGGACAGAGCCCACTCAGTAAGTTCATGAGAGATTTTTTGGTTGAAAGCTCAACCAAGCAGACTCAATTGCTGTTGTGGTTGTTGTTTAGAAGAAAGTGTAATTCCTATTTTGAAACAATCTAAGTGCAATCAAGAAAATTAAGATAAGAACCCTGAAGATTAACCAAAGGCCGGATAACAGATGTGGGAAATCTGGAGTTCAAATGTGATGTTTCTGGATAGAACTGACCTTCTCTGACTGAACTGAGTCTCATTCTGTGTCTGTGAGACCCCCTGATAGTCAGAGAGAGTCACTATAATTATAAGATAGTGTAGAAGAGTCTATTGCTTTTAATACATTTATATAGCTAGTTAATGGGTCGATAAGATCCAAATGTTGCAATCATAAAAACCAGAAGCAATATTACTAATAGACAAACAGTTATTATATAAATGATAAGAATAATGATACAGAAGATAAGATTAATAGTTATGATGATGCTGATAAGGTGGGTGACAACAGTAGCAAGATATATATAACAATGATGAGAATTAAGCATTAATCAATTTGAAGCAACCCTTGGACATTTAAACTTTTGGAGATAGGTTTCCTAAAATTCTTATTCCCTAGGGAAAATTAATAATGTGTTCAAATGCCCCACACAATTTTCATTTAAAAAGCAAAATAACTAGCAATTTGACCTTCGACTAATTGACCAGGCTTTAAAACCTAGACCTTGAAGCCTTATTTCTTGTGAGCTATTTGTTAGTGAAAGTGCAACATCTACCTTAAACACCTCCATGTTCAATGATATAACACTTTCATTCTTCTGAAAATTAGTTGTGACACTTTTTGTTCGAATTTCTTAACGTCAGTCAGGCAAGGTTCAAATCACCCCTCTCCCCCCTCCCTCCCTTTGGATTGGTTAATGATCAAATGCCTGTGGGTTGCTTAAAGAGAAGGGAGGGGATGTTGAAGCTTTCAAAACGATTGTTGCATCATAATGGAAAGATGATGATGATGATGCTATACTCATGCAAAATTACGCAATGGATGTTATATTATCGATGATCAAATATGGTCTTTACTCATTATAACTTTGTGTACTTGCTTTGAACTTTGAGAAAGAAAATAACAAAGGTTTCTGTGTCATAGATTCTCTCAATGAACAGCATATTGTAATCGGAGAAGAGAGTCATGATTGGCCAAATATCCTTTAAAGTGGTCGTACAGTGTATATATCCTTCTCCACAGCTGCTTACATTCTTGAAACTGATGGAATAGAACTTATTCTAACAATAACTAAAGCTGAAGTTAACACAGCTCACCTCGTAAAGTGTCCTCGTCAAAATCTGTTGCATTTTCTTTGTCAGGTAAGTCTTCATTTTCACATGGAACTTTCATCGGACTTCTTTCTGTAGCCATAGCAACTGTAAGAAGATGCTAATCTTACAAAGTTGCTGTTTTAAGTTATCCTGGCCTGAAAAAAGATGGTTGAAAACTGTATACACGTCAGCTCAACATATTACCTAATTGCAAAATAAATATTTTTTCCCTTCTGAGAATGGGAGGGATACATAGACTCAAAATTACAAGTCAGTTAATATTATAATAGCATACATGTACAAACTATTAAAGCAGCAAAAGAACAAAAGATGCTTTTGCAGAAGAACCTCTCATTATAATAAATTTTAAGATTTATGAAATACATCCTCAATTGACTGAGATAAGCAGCTGTCTGTTGCAAGTTCATACAATTTGTAAACAGCAGCAATTTGTGGTTTACAAGTATATATGTATTAAATAAATTGTTTTTGCAATCATTTCATGTTTACATTGTTTTGTGCACAAAATTGATTTGTCTTTGATGTTAACTTTAATTCTCCTAATAATCAAGACTGGTTGTCTTTTAAATATCAAATAATCTTTACTGGTTGTCTATTTGTACAAAAAATATCAAGAAATGTAGAGCAACAAGGAAATCGGTTGTTCTAGAATTCAGAGTGAAAATCAAAATTATTTGTCTACAGTTAGATGTCTAAAACATATAATTCCATGTAATTTTACTACGAAAAGCAAACTGAAACTTTCTTGTATCTCCAATAGACTCAACCAAAGATTCATTGCGATTTCTAATCAGTGAAGATACATTTCGCAAGAGAAAAGGATAATATTTTAGAGAGGGCTCCTTGATTGGTTGTTGCCTATCTAGACTTTGCCCACTGTGTGTGAAATACCTGATAAAATGCAGGTTGTTTACAAGGGATAGACATGCGATTAGATTAAGTCCAAGGTAGTTAAAAACCGATTTTATTCGTAGAAAAAGTCAATACGCGGGAGAATTACGTGAAAAGTTCATTATCAGTAGCATTTAGTGTGAATTTTTTTCAGTGGGGTTGGACCGCAATGCGGTCAGAATACGTGATCATGCTGGTTGTTTACAAGGAAATGAAACGTGATGGAGCGAAGTCTAATTTGGCAAAATGGAATTTGATTGGTGAAATAAAATTCAAACACGTGAAAAATTGCCTAATGTTTAAGTAGTGCAATGATTGGGTATGTTCTGATTGGTACGTTTCCATGATACGTGATGGAATGTAAATTGTCACACACGAATTACCCAAGAATTCATGAAATATCTCTTCTAAAATTTGTAATCAGTAAATTAGGTCGGGAAAGCAAAAGAAAAAGAAATATACATATCCCAAAAGTCTGCACACCACCTCCCCTGCTGTCTCCCTCTATTTGTTTTTCTGATGGTAATCTCGTCTCTAAAAAAAACCGCTTATTCATCAGTAATAATTCACTCTATTTCAAACGACAAGGTAATTTTTCAGTACCAGAAATCTGAGACATCGATCATACTTCACCTCTCCAGGCCTTTAAACATGGCGGAGAAACAATTGTAAATAAATGTGTGGGATAAAAAATGGATATCAGGATCACTTATCCATAGGTGAGGATGTAAATCTTCCACTGCTCATAAGAGAAAGAAAACATCTTTGTCATAATAAAAATTTTGTTCCGTGAGTTATTTTTAAAAGTTACGTCCGGACAAATTTTGATACAATATTAAACCTAAAGTACACTCAAACCGTCTCAAAAAGTCTAAAATTTAGTCAAATATTACTTGAGAAAAGCTCAATTTTGGACATCAAACCTTGAATGAATTTACCTTTCACCACTCTCAGCAGTATTACTCGTTAATTTATGTAGGACGAAAAAGAGCAAAGAAGACGATCATTTATTCTAAAATCTATCT